TCCCTGATGAACATGGATGCAAAAATTTTCAACAAGATATTAGCCAACTGGATCCAACGATACTTTAAAAGAATTATTCTACCATGATCAAGTGGGATTTATATCTCGGATGCAGGGCTGGTTCAATATCTGCAAATAAATCAATGTGATATATCACATTAATAAAAGAAAGGACAAGAACCACATGATCCTCTCAATAGACCCAGAGAAAGCATTTGACAAAATACAGCATCCTTTCTTGATAGAAACCCTTAAGAAAGAAAGTACAGAAGGATCATACCTCAAGATCATAAAGGCCATATACAAAAGACTCACTGCTAATATGATCCTCAATGGGGAAAAACTGAGAGTTTTCCCCTCAAGGTCAGGAACACGACAGGGATGTCCATTATCACCTCTGTTATTCAACATAGTACTGGAAGTCTTAGCCTCAGCAATCAGACAACACAAAGAAGTAAAAGCATCCAAATTGGCAAGGAGAAGTCAAACTTTGACTCTTCGCAGATGATATGATATTCTATATGGAAAACCCAAAAGATTCCACCAAAAAACTGCTAAAACTGATTCATGAATTCAGCAAAGTTGCAGGATATAAAATCAATGCACAGAAATCAGTTGCATTTCTATACACCAATAATGAAGCAGCAGAAAGGGAAATCAAGGAATCAATCCCATTTACAATTGCACCAAGAACCATAAAATACCTGGCTTTTTTCACTGTAGGGCTCAGTGTTGGCAGTGCAGAGCCTGCTTGGAATTCTCTCTCTCTCTCTCTCTCTCTCTCTCTCTCTCTCTGTGCCTCCCCTGCTCACACTCCTATGCTCTCTATCAAAATAAATAAACTTAAAAAATAATTTTTAAAAAGCATTCTCAAAAAAATTCTTAATAAAATAAAAGCATTCTCTTTTAAGGGGCACCTGGATGGCTCAATTTGTAGTATGTGAGACTCTCAATCTTGTGGTTTTGAGTTTGAGCACCACACTTGAGTATAAAGATTACTTAAAAATAAGATATTTTAGGGGCGCCTGGGTGGCTTAGTTGGTTAAGGTCCGACTTTCGCTTAGGTCATGATCTCGCGGTTCGTGGGTTCGAGCCCCGTGTCGGGCTCTGTGCTGACTGCCAGCTCAGAGCCTGGAACCTGTTTCAGTCTGTGACTCCCTCTCTCTCTGACCCTCCCCTGCTCACGCTGTCTCTCTCTCTCTCTCCTAGAAATAAATAAAACATTAAAAAAAAAAATAAGATATTTTAGGGGCACCTTGATAGCTCAGCCAGTTAAGCATCCAACTCTTGATTTCAGCTCAGGTCATGATCTCACATATCATGAGCCCTGCGTTGGGCTCTACACTGGCATCATGGGGCTTACTTGGGATTCTCTTCTCTCTCTCCTTCTATCTCAGCCTCTTCCTCACTCACGCTCTTTCTCTGTGCTCTTATTCTAGAATAAATTGACAAATATTAGAACAAATGGAGTTCAGCAAGTGAAGAACACCCTTGAGAAAGTTAACAGAAAAGTTGGGAGAAGGTATTTTCAACATTAAACCAACAAAAGACTAATATCTAGAATGTAGAAGAAACTCCTAAAATTAAAAACAAAAAGGAAAATTGTAAAAATTTCACAAAAAATATAAACAGAATTCACAGAAATTGAAATCCAAATCACTAACAATATCGTGAGGTATTCAAACTCACTGAAAATCAGAGAAATGCAAAGTAAAATAATGGGATACTAAAATATCCTCAGCTTGGCAAAAGTTAGAAATTTGATGAGAAAGTAGAACTCTTCATGCATTACTGAAGGAAGTAAAAACTAGCAGAGCCAGGGGTGCCTGGCTGCATTAGTCAGCAAAGCATGCAACTCTCAGTCTCAGAGTGTGAGTTCAAGATCCACGTTGGTTGTAGATCTTACTTAAAAAACAAAACAAACTAGCAGAGCCATTATGGAAAGTAATCTGACAATGTCTAGGGAAATTAAGTATGCATAGGCCCTCTGACTCTGAAATCCCACTCCTAGGTACATTTCCCAGAGAAATCCTTGTATAGGCCCATGAAAAATCACAATCTAGTTGTCTACAAGTTGGTTTACAAGGTCACTAGTTCCTCTACAGATTGCAGGAATCAAAAACAGAAATGCCTACAGGACAAATGGATAATGGATAAATGGGTAAAATTGGCCATATAAAGAGGTTAACCTCTACTCTGGCTCTAGAAAACAAGTGGCAAGTGGGACTTGGGGCTTGATTTACCCTAATATCAAATTTCTTCAAATATTAAAACTCCATTATTGAAAATATCACCCTAGGTGTGCTTGGGTGGCTGATTTGGTTAAGTGTCCGACTCTTGACTTTGATTTTATGGTTAGTGAGATTGAGCCCTGTGCCAGGCTCTGTGCTAACAGCACAGCTACCCCCAACGTGGATCTTGAACTCACACCCTAAGATTGAGAGTTGCATGTTTTGCTGACTAATGCAGCCAGACACCCCTGGCTCTGCTAGTTTTTACTTCCTTTAGTAATGCATGAAGAGTTCTACTTTCTTTCAGGCTGATAGCGCAGAGCCTGCTTGGAATTCTCTCTCTCCCTCTCTCTCTCCGCCCCTCCCCTGCTTGCTCACTCTCTCAAAATAAATAGACATTTTTTAAAAAACCATCCTTATTCTGGGGCACCTGGGTGGCTCAGTCGGTTAAGCGTCTAACTTCAGCTCAGGTCATGATATGGTTGGTGAGTTCGAGCCCCACATGGGGCTCTGTGCGGACAGCTCAAGGCCTGGAGCCTGCTTTGGATTCTGTGTCTCTGTCTTTGTTCCTTTCCACCTGTGCTCTGTCTCTCAAAAGTAAATAAACATTAAAAAATGTTTTTACATTTTATTTTATGTACCAGTAAGAGAGAAAAGATGTTGCCGAGGCACCTGGGTGGTTCAGTCAGGTGACTCAGTTGGAAGAGTGACAGGCTCTTGATTTTGGCTCAGATCATGATCCCAGGGCAGCGGGATCAAGCCCCAAGTTGGGCTCCATGCTGAGCATAGAGCCTGCTTAAGATTCTCTCTCTCTCCCTCTGTCTCTTTCCCCCACTCTCTCTGTATAAATTAATAAATTAAACAAACAACGATGTTGCGTATTTTAGTAATACAAAAATGGGTGTAAAAATACATCTGATGGTGAAATATGGTATTTCTAATTTTTCAGAGAGGCCATGAATCTGAGTTTTGATGTGAAATATGGTCATTTAAAGACATTGGAAGCTAATGCTTTTTAATTAAAAAACCACGTGGGCCTGATTTCTGGAGGGCTCTAGAACTACCAGTTCCCAGTCTCAGCTAGCTTCATGTAACTACTGGTTCTGATTTTCTATTTGAAGATTTTCAATAATTCTCTTGGTATATGCTTTCAGAATTATTTAGAGCTGATTATTTCTTCACCTGAATATAAACCTAGGTTCCAGGAGCGCCTGAGTGGCCCAGTCCTTAAGTATCAGACTTCAGCTCAGGTCATGATCTTGTGGTTTGTGAGCTTGAGCCCCACATCCAACTCTGCACTGGTGGTGTGGAGCCTGCTTGGGATCCTCTCTCTTACTCTCTCTCAAAATAAATAAATTTAAAACAAAATAAAACAAAAATCTAGGTTCCAGAACGTTTTACTTTCTTTGGCAGTGGTTTTCAGCTACACGCCTGTGGAATAAAGTAAGGAAAGCATGGAGAAAACTACTTTTAAAAGAGTAGTATTTAATTTGGTGGTTGAGGGCAGGCATGAATTCGTTATCATTTCAATTCCCTGGGTTCAATTTCTGCCCACTTAAATAGCACTGGAACTACAAAAAGAAGACAACTAATTAAGGATGCCTGGGTGGCTCAGTCTAAGCATCAGACTTCAGCTCAGGTTGCTCAGGTCATGACCTCACAGTTTCGTGAGTTCCAGCCCTGTGATGGGCTCTGGGCTGACAGCATAGAGCTTGGAGCTGGCTTGGAGTTCTGTGTCTCCTTCTCTCTCTGCCCCTCCCCTGCCCCTGTTCACACTCTGTGTGTGTATGTGTGTGTGTGTGTGTGTGTGTGTGTGTCTTTCAAAAATAAACAAACATTAAAAATAAAAAAGAAGACAACCAATTATACTTATTCTTCATAAACATCTCCATCTGGCAAGACAATCACATATGTTGCTAAACAGCTCTGACTGGGTCTGTAACCAACCAACAACATTCCAAACTACTAGCTGGAACTTCTAAATGAAGCAAAATAGTGCATACTTCAAGTAGGAGTTGAGGAGCATCAGTAGGCAAAAGTACTCCTTCTTGATTGGATAGACCACTGATAGATTTCAAATCCAAGGTAGCGATATTTCTCAAAATGTGAGGGGGCACTCTCCAATGTTGGGATCACTTGAGGTGCATTGTTAAAATGCACATTCCTGAACCCCATCATATTAAAAATTCATAATCTACATTCCAACAAGCTCAATCTTAGGCCGACTATACTTATGCATACTTAAATTTGAAAAACACTATCCTAATGTATTCTATCAGAGTGGGGTTTACAATGCTACCTGATAACTGCACTTACGGTCATTCAGAGGGCAACTTGGGAACATCACAGGTTCGAATACTGCTGCACTCGGTGTTACACACATTCCTCTCATAACTAGCTCCCCGCGCCCCATCTCGCCAGAGGGAAAATTCTTCTATGTACAGAAATACCCTTATTCACTCTCTGCCTTCCATCACCTTTCCCCCCTCTCATCCGTTCTTTTTCAAGCATTTCCTGCTCTTTGCCCTCCTCTTCTGAGTCCGACCATATTAACCCAACCTCCATTGCGCCCCAGGCCGCCCTCGCCCCAGACCACCCCGTGCCACAGTTTCTCTTTCGCCTCAGGCCTCTGACTCCTGAGCTAGCTAGCGTCCGTTAACGGGTTCCTTCCGCTGATCGAGGACTCCCCCACACTTAACACGCCACAGTCACCCTTTTCCACTTCCAATCTCTTCTCTTCTTTGGCTACGAGGCCTAGAGGGTACTCACCATTCCGGCCGTTGCTACTGTCACTGCTCTGGTTGCTAGGGCCCGCCGGGGTCAGTGCGCGTGCGCACTTCTCGGAGCACTCCGCGGATCCCACCCCTGGCAGCGGTACTTTCTCTCCGCCCTCCCGGTGGCGTGAGCGGGGCATTGTGGGATGGCGCGGCGGCCGCTTCGATCGTCTCGCACGCCTGCTGCTCGCCTCCTGGTAACTGCGGTGGGGCCGCTGGTGGCGTGCAGGACGCGAGAGCTTGACGATGCAGAGTGCTTCCGAGATGCTTTCTGCCGGAAGCAATTTCAGCTAATCTGGAGTGATGTGCCTGCCTAAATTTAAACTATAAAATTGCCGCTCCCCAAAACTTAAAAAATTCCCTTCCTCTGCAGATTGCCCCTCGCATCCTTCTCTTTATCACCTGCTGTAATTCACCTGACATCTGACAGGCTATATTCAGCAGAATTTCCTGTTACCTTCTTCCCAGCCCCTCCAGGGAGCCAGAAACGAATGATAGCATTAAATGCTGGCTTTATAAAACCGAAGTGTCTTTCTCCCCTCCCCTCCTCTTATTAAATTAGACAAAAATTGTAAAAATACTGAGTTGCTTCGGGCATAGAGAAATGGGGACGCGTATATACCTGTTGTTTATAATTGACAACAGCCTTTCTGGAGATCTGTTGGCAATAGTGTTACAAGCTTTAAAACGTGTGCATATCTGTGACCCAGAAGTTCTATTTCTAGGACTTCATCCAAGAAATAATCAGACAGGTGCAGAGATTTATGTTCAAGATTTTAATAGCAAAAAGGTAAACAACCCAAATGTCACCAAAGACGAATTGGTATTGTCGAGCATTCAAACGATGAAATAATATTCTTCCATTAAAAATGTTGCTTAAATGCATCTACTTACATGCAGACAGTCATGATGTTTGAATTTAAAATACAAGTTAACAAAAAATAGTTGGTATAATCTTAAAAATTATATATTGCACAAACATGTATACATAACATATATTTGAAAGAATATGATGAGGGTCTGTTGTTTGCTGCAGAGTAAATTGTGCCCCCCCATTCATGTGTTGAAGCTTTAATGCCAATGTGACTGTTTATGGAAATAGGGCCTTAAAGGAGGTAATTTCAGCTAAATGAGGCCATAATAGTGGGGGCCTAATCCATTATAACTAGTGTCCCTATAAGAGGAATAGACACACCAGGAGTGGTGGTCACAGAAGAACGGCCATCTGAGGACACAGTAAGAAGATGGTCACCTGGAGGCTTAGTCGGTTAAGCGTCCGACTTTCGCTTAGGTCATGATCTCACGGTTCGTGGGTTCGGGCCCCGCGTCGGGCTCTGTGCTGACTGCCAGCTCAGAGCCTGGAGCCTGTTTCAGTCTGTGACTCTCTCTCTCTCTGACCCTCCCCTGCTCACGCTGTCTCTCTCTCTCTCTCTCTCTCTCCTAGAAATAAATAAAACATTTTTTTAAAGTAAAAAAAAAGGAGACTTTAATTTTCTAAACAAGAACATGGGTTGAATAAAAGAAAAATTGTTACATTTAACAGATGATTAGAGATTGAGCAAAATAGCTAAAAGTTGTATACTCTAAAATAAAAAGAAATCTTTTTAAATAACTTAAAGCCTAAGAGAGTCATTAATTCTTTAGGTTATCTGTATAGTCAAAAAGTTTATCAGCTCAAATTAGAATGAGCAATGTATTAATTTTCAATAGTACACTTCCTAGATCATTATTCTCATTATAGTTATTTGATAAAAAGCCAATTTCTCCCCTATGTTTTTGGTCTTATTTTAAAAAAAACATCATTCAGGGACACCTGGCTGACTCAGTAGGAAGAGCATGCAGCTTGTGATCTCAGGGTCATGAGTTTAAACCCATGTTGGGTGGTAGAGATTACTTAAATAAGTAAAACTTAGAAAAAAATATTTTAAAAATCTTACATGAATAACCCCCAAATCAGGAAGTAATACATAAGTATACACACACACAAAGTATATATATGTACTTTATATATGTATATGTATACATATACATGTGTATACATATATAAAGTATGACATATACTTTCTTGATGTTAATAATTTGAAACTTGTATTACATTTTTAAAATAGGGACATCTGCTCAGGTCATGATCTCACAGTTTGTGAGATTAAGCCCACATTGGTTCCGCACTGACTACATAGAGCCTGTTTGGGATTCTCTCCTTCCGCCTCTCCCCCATTAGGACTCTTTCTCTCAAAATAAATAAATAAATCTTTAAAAATTTTTAAATAGTGGGGGCACCTGGGTGGCTTAGTGAGTTGACCATGAGACTTCGGCTCAGGTAATGAGCTCTCACTTCATGAGTTCGAGCCCCACATTGAGCTCTTTGCTGTTAGTACAGGGCTCGCTTTGGATCCTCTGTCTTCCTTTCTCTGTCCCTCCCCTACTTGCGCTCTTTGTCCATCTCACAATAAATAAATGAACTTAAAAATTTTTTTAAATAGTGTTAATTTGGGGGAGGGGACCTACTAACACTGCAAATTAGGGTGACAATACCTCATCTGCTGCCAAGAAAAGCCCAAAATATAGTTCTGACCACAAGATCTACTGATCAACCAAAATCAAACGCTAATAATTAATACCTTAACCTTTCTCTTCAATTATGTGGAAGAAAAAATTAACTAAATTATGATAAGGCCAGAGTTCTAATATCTTCTAATTCTACACATATTTTTAAAGTTTAAAATCAACGCACTGAACTTTAATTAAAATTATTTTAATAAATTAAGGCTTATCCACAAATTGTAATTACATTTTTGGTAAAGGTGGTGGAAAGAAGAAGGGAGGAACTCTGTGTTTCCCTCAGATAATTATACTGTCTATTTGTATAATTATCAACTTGGGAGGAAAACTGGCATGTGCCTATTTTTAAATATATTTTTGAAACAAAGTGTGAAAAAAGTTTTTTAAAGTACAGATACAGAGATAAAGGAATTATAAAGAACCAGCATGTCAGGGCACCTGGATGGCAAAGTGGGTTGAGGTCTGACTTCGGCTCAGGTCATGATCTCCTGGTTTGTGAGTTCGAGCACTGCATTGGGCTCACTGCTGTCAGCCTGTCAGCGCAGAGCCTGCTTCAGATCTTCTGTTCACCTCTCTCTGCCCCTCCCCTGCTTGCACTCTCCCAAAAAATACATACATATTAAAGAAAAAAGAAGAATCAGTGCTTCTTAGTAATTGGTTAGCAGTTTTAAAGCAAGTAAGTATTTTTGGATTTTTATTTTATTTTTTTTTTTTTGCTGGGTGAAGTACTTTATTTATTTATTTATTTATTTTTACAAATAGTTTATTGTCAAATTAGTTTCTACATAACACTCAGTGCTCATCCCCAAAGTGCCCTCCTCCATGCCCATCCCCCCCTCCCCCCCACATCCATCAGTCCTCAGTTTTTGTCAGCATTCAAGAGTCTCTCATGGTTTGCCTCTCTCCCTTTCCCCCACCATTTCCGCCCTTCTTCTCCCCCTTGTTCCTCCGTCAAGTTCCTCCTAATCCTCCTATACGTGCAAACATATGATATTTGTCCTTCTCTGCCTGACTTATTTCGCTCAGCATAACACCCTCAAGGTCCATCCATGTTGCTACACATGGCCAGATTTCATTGTTTCTCATTGCCATGTAGTATTCCATGGTATAGATAAACCACATCTTCTTGATCCATTCATCTGTTGATGGACACTTAGGCTCTTTCCATGTTTTAGCTATTGTGGAGAGTGCTGCTGTGAACATTGGGGTACATGTGCTCCTATGCCTCAGCATTTCTGTATCCCTTGGGTAAATTCCTAGCAGTGCTATTGCTGGGTCGTAAGGGAGTTCTATTGTTAGTTTCCTGAGGAGCCTCCACACTGTTTTCCAGAGGGGCTGTACCAGTTTACATTCCCACCAACAGTGTAGGAGGGTGCCCGTTTCTCCACATCCTCGCCAGCATCTAGAGTTCTCTGATTTGCTCATTTTAGCCACTCTGACTGGCGTGAGGTGGTATCTCAGTGTGGTTTTGATTTGTATTTCCCTGATTAGGAGGGATGCTGAGCATCGTTTCATGTGTCTGTTGGCCATCTGGATGTCCTCTCTGGTGAAGTGTCTGTTCATGTCTTCTGCCCATTTCTTCACTGGGTTGTTTGTTTTTCGGGCGTGGAGTTTGGTGAGTTCCTTATAGATTCTGGATATTAACCCTTTATCTGATATGTCATTTGCAACTATCTTTTCCCATTCCGTTGGTTGCCTATTAGTTTTCTGGGTTGTTTCCTTGGCTGTGCAGAAGCTTTTAATCTTGATGAGGTCCCAACAGTTTATTTTTGCTCAGTATTTTTGGATTTTTAAATTTCTTTTCCCTTTTTTTAAAGTTTTTTTTTTTTTTTATTTTGAGAGAGAGAACAAGTGCAAGTGGGGGAGGGGCAGAGAGAGGGAGAAAGAGACAGAGAGAGAGACAGAGAGACAGAGAGAGAGAGAATCCCAAGCAGGTTCAGCGCTGTCAGCATGGAACACAATTCTAGTCTCAAATTCACAAACCGTGGGATCATGACCTGAGCCGGAATCAAGAGTCGGATGCTTAACTGGCTGAACTACCCAGGTGCTCCTCTAAGTTTCTTTAAAGATTCTAGAACAGGTGGCAATTAGAAAAAAAAAAAAAAATCAAGACCTGATTAACAACAGAAAGGATTCTATGACTTCAGTCTACCACAAATCAGCCTCTGAGTCATCTTGTTAGAATTCAGTCCAGCCTATTGCTCTGTATTATGAGAAAATAACCCAATGGTTCCTTGCTATAAAACCAGAGGCCTATATTCATGTATTTACCCCCATTCAAATAGTTTTATAACCTCTGGGACAGATAATAGCAAACTATCATATACTAGTTTTTTAAAAACTTTGGAAGTACAGGTGACAGGGAGGTTAGGTGGGAGGGGTGGGTAAATGGCAGATTGAAAACTGGTTTTTATTTAGCAATTACCTTGAGTTGAAGCTCAAACCAACCAAATATGGAGAAACATGGATAGTTACCAAAGTTACAGGCTCTGATGAACTTGAATCAAGTATTTT